AGGAGGAGGAGGCGGAGGAGGGGGAGGGGGAGGAGGAGGAGGAGCAGGAGGAGGAGGAGGAGGAGGAGGAGGAGAGGAGGAGGAGGAGGAGGATGAGGGGGAGTATGATGATGGATGATGATGATGAGATGATGGATGATGATGATGGGATGATGATGATGATGATGATGATGATGATGATGATGATGATGATGAGATGATGATGATGCTGATGTGATGATGATGATGATGATGAGGATGATGATGCTGATGATGATGATGTATGATGATGATGATGCTGATGATGATGATGCTGATGATGATGATGATGATGATGATGATGATGATGATGATGATGATGATGATGATGCTGATGATGATGATGATGATGATGATGATGATGAGGAGGAGGAGGAGGAGGAGGAGGAGGGAGGAGGGGGGGAGGAGACGATGAGCAGACAGTTGGATCAGGAGGAAGTTGAAACAGATCAGGTGGAGGAGGAGGAGGGGGGAGGGAAGGAGGAGGAGGAGAGGAGGAGGAGGAGGAGAGGAGGAGGAGGAGGAGGAGGAGGAGGAGGAAGGAGGAGAGGAGAAGGAGGAGTAGGAGAAGGAGAAGGAGGAGGAGGAGGAGGAGGAGGAGGAGGAGGAGGAGGGGAGGAGGAGGAGGAGTGGGAGGATGAGGAGGAGGAGGAGGAGAGGAGGAGGAGGAGGAGGAGGGAGGAGGAGGAGGAGGAGGCGGAGGCGGAGGCGGAGGCGGAGGCGTAGGCGGATGAGGAGGAGGAGGAGGAGGAGGAGGAGGAGGAGGAGGAGGAGGAGACGGATCAGGAGGAGGAGGAGGAGGAGGAGGAGGAGGAGGAGGAGGAGGAGGAGGAGGAAGAGGAGGGGGATGATGGGGGCGCCTGCCTGATTGGCGGCCCACGGTGCTTCGCAGGGCCGAAGCGGTCGAGCTCGGCGCCTCGGCAGCTTGCCGCGCGGTTCGGAGTCGGCGCCGAAACGCTGCTGAGGCTGCGATCCGCGCTCTTGCGGGCACGCGGGGCTCGCCTGGGTCGTGGCAGAACCGCGAAGTGGCGGCACGCCCAGCCCTGCAGCTGGCATCCAGCGGCCGCCGCGTTCACGGCGCTGCTCGGCGGCGCCGACATGCTGCTTGGCACGCGCTGCGCGTCCCCGCGGAGGGCTTCGCGCGTGCCGCGCAGGAGAGCCTGTCGTGGGCGGCGGCGGGGCCGCGGCTCGGAGCACGGCGTCTGTTCGCGGCGGAGCTGGAGGCGGAGCTCCAGGGCGCTGCCGAGGCATCTGCCGTGGGGGCCGAGACCATCACGGCCGCGCCGTCGCCGCGCGTGGTGGCCATGGGCAAGGCCATGGGCAAGACAGGCTTGACGTCTGCCACGGCCTCCCCTCTCATCAAGTATATCGAAAAGCAGGTCGTCCAGGAGAAGGCGCCCCACGAGGGTGCCGCATCTGGCTGGAGGTGCACATGTGGCGCGATGCTCTTCCCCCCTGTGGGAAGCGCGTCGGAGCCGAGCGAGCTGCTGCAGGTTCGCGACCATTTGTACAATTCGGTTAAGGGGGCGGGCTGCAAGTTCAGGAACAATGCAGTTGAGTTCGTCCCGTGGGAGGCGATGCACTTCGCGGCCATTCGCCGCTTCCAGGTCGACTGGTCTTTGAAGCAGCCCTTCCAAAGCCAGGTGCGCGCGGCTGCTGGCCAATGAAAGGCAAGCTTCGCTGGAAGCGCTACACAGAGATGCATGCCGCCCCTTCGAGTTCGACGGGCCGTGGAAACAGCCCTCCGAAATCAAGCGCGAGAGATTTGCTGGCTGTCCTCCGACAAAACCATGGAGGCAGATGCTGGTTTCTTGCTCAGCAGGTTGGGCACAGCAATCAGCACATTCGGCACGTGCTTCCATCATTTCTTGATTGATTGATTTGCACTTTCCGACTCCATTTCTCTTAGGAGTAGTAAGTCCTCCCGTCACTATGGGTTCGTGCTTAACCCGGTGCAGAATTGGCGAAAAGCACGGGGATTCTGGCGCCGAGGAGTTTTGGGGTGAACCGCTTAGTTCGATCATGGATTGGGCAGAGTGAGGCGAGAACCATTGGAAGAGGATGGTGAGGAGGAGGAGGAGAAGGAGGAGGAGGAGGAGACCTGCTTCAGATAGCCGGCCACTCCTGGGAGAACCGCTCTTTTTCAGGGGTGGCGGAGGAGTCCGCTTGCTCGCGACCATGGAGCGCCCCTGGGAGGGATCCGCGTGCGGCGGCGGCGGCGGCGGGGTGGCGGCGGCGGCGGCGGCGGCGGCGGAGGAGGAGGAGGAGGCGGAGGAGGAGGAGGAGGAGGAGGAGGAGGACACACTCTCGCTTCCCTAGAGTCTTCCTTTGGTGGCGATCGGCGCAGAGTGGTGGGTCTTCAGGGTGGCGGCGTCGTGGGCCGAGAGAGGGAGGGAGAGAGAGAGGCGTGTGGAGCGCGCAAGCGTGAGTGAAGCAGCAGGATGAGGAGGGACATGCGTTCACGGCAGGTTCGAGCCGTGCCGACGCGGCGGCGGCCCCGCCGCGGGCGTGCAGCTTTGAACGCCGCCGGTGGCCCAGACTCGGCCAGTGTGGAACGACCTTGCGGTCGAAGGGCCGCCGATCGTTCCGGGTTGGACGATGCGCGCGGTGTCGGAAGCCAGCGCAAGGATCGTCACGCCACGAACCCTTCGTGCAGTTAAGACGCTGAAACAAGGAGCAGTTTGGGTTCGGGAGGGGCTCGATGTTCCTTAGGTTCCTCCAGTGCTGTTATTCTTGCCCTCCTGGGGCACGGAGGCGCTTACAGTGCCAAGAAGGGGCTTCCTTCCTTATGTAGCGTTCCTTCTCTCAGCGTCCCGACCGTATGCGTGCACGTCCCCCGCCCGCTCCGCAACACGGTCAGGAGCTCTGGCTCCGCGTGCCGCGCCGCCGGTCCTGGCCCACGGCGCTGCGGCGCGGCACGCCGCCCACGCTGCCCAGCCCCCCGGCGTGAACGTCCCGCCCCGCGGAGCGGAGCGGCACGCCGTCCGCTTTCGCGAGGCGCCGCGCGCCGCCGGGCCCGCCGCCGCGGCGCGCCGAGCGGGAGCCCCGAGCGCGCAGCACGCGGCGCCCCTGGCTCGGGGGAGAGGCCCCTGCCGGGCCCGTGGCGCTCCCCCGGGAGCACGCGGGTGCTCGCACAGGGCCCCCCCCCCTCTCTCTCGGCGGCGCGGCGGTCCGGGCGCACCCTCCGAGGCCATCCCCGCCTCCTGGCTTTTGAAATCGCCCGGACACCGCGCGCCGTGCATCGGATTGCAAAAAAAAAAACCTAGGATTGCAAAAAAAAAAGCATTTTTTTGCAAAAAAAACCAAAGGATTGCAAAAAAAAGCCCACCAAACCGCCCGAACCCAACCCGAAGGCCCCCATTTGCCTTCCATTCCCACCAGGGGGGGGGGCGTCGGAGAATACGGAGCAAGAGCACATCTGGGACCCGCACCCCTCCCCCCCCCCCCCGAAATTGTGGTCTTCGTGTTGGGTTGGGGTGGTCTGGTCGGTAGTCAGTGCGGACACACGTGCGCCGCCCCTCCCCATCCCCCCCCTGGCTCGGCTCCGTTCCGGGCGGCCGTTGGGCCAACGCTCTGGCCCCGCGGGAGAGGCCAGGGCATGGACAGCAGCTCGGGGTCAGCCGGCTGGTGCCCAGACGTCTGGCGTTTCGAAAACATCGAGACAAATGTTTTTCCTAGTTTTCGGCCTCTCGGGGCCTTTATTGGGCCTCGGGACCGTCGAAAAACGACCCTGGATGAAAAACCGTTTCCGGGGCAGTGGTCGAGATGTCGGGGGCCCGCTTCTCGAACAGCATCGAGGCGCCCGATGTCTGGGAACGGGGCTCAGCCAGAGCGCCAGATCCTGCAGGATCCTGCAGGCCCAGATTTTGGCCGAGCCAGGTTTGGGAGCCGCTCGCAGCCGGGTCAGGCTCGGGAGGCCCCCCAAAAATTGCGGCGCAGTTTTTCCCATGAGCCAGCTGAGCCAGGTTTGCGCCGTGCTGCGCCGGGTTAGTCCACGCCGGACGGGGTTCGAGCTGCGGAGGCGGGTGAGGGCGTCAAGGGGGGACAACGCGAGGATGAGCTGGTTCGTGGAACTGCACCTCGTCGTCGTAGTGGCATACCTCCTCCTCCTCCTCCTCCTCCTCCTCCTCCTCCTCCTCCTCCTCCTCCTCATCCTCGTCATCGTCCTCGGTGTGTATTCGTCGAATGGCGACGCCTTCGACGGGCGTCTGGATGCGAGAAGTTTCAGGGTGTGCACGACGTTCTCTGGGGCGGTCCTCTCAACTCGGGGGGTTCTGTCGCTTCAGCGCCGGCGCGGCTCCCAGACAGCTCTCCCGAGTGTGGGCCGTCTCCCTGGTTCGAAGTGGTGTTGTCGCTGCACTGCCGTCCGCGTGAACAGATCAGAATGTCGTCACGTTTTCGGCCGCGCGGCGTTTGTGGAGTTTCCTTGTCTCATGTCGAGTGTCTGCGTTGGGTTTTCCCGTCGCAGCTTGATAATTTCAAAGCGGTCGATGTGTCTGTAGTTAACGTGACGCGTGCGTCACCAGGGATAAGTGGGTGTCGCATTTCGGGAAATGATCAGCGTGAGGGGGCCGAACGGTCATTCGCTGTCACTTGGTGCGTGGCTGAAGTGGGGCTCCTCGGTGCGGGTGGTTGCTGTGCTGTTGTGCTGCGTTGTTGCATTGTTGTCGTCGTCCTCGCTCGCGGCCCGCCCGCGTCGCACCCGCGACCCACCCCGCGACCCACCCCCGCGACGCACCCCGCGACCCACCCCGCGACCCACCCGCGTTGCGTCGGTGAAGAATTCTGCGCCTGCGGGGCCCGGGGGCCTCGGGAGCGGCGCGAGTGCTCCTCGGCACGAAGTGGCCGCCGCGTGCCACCGGCGAGGTCGTGATGGGGGCCACCTGGGGGCCGCCCCGCCCGCCGGTGCGTGACCTGCACGGCCAGGCTGCGGCTGGCAGGGCTTCGATCGGGGAGCGCTCGGCATCCTGGGAATGCCCCAGGTGGTCTTCATCTACCAGGCGCAGGGGCAGTCCCACGCCGCTGCCAAGAATGGCCGGGATTGTGGGGCAGAGAGGAGAGCGGGGAGAGGTGAAGGGCAAGGGGAGAGAACGAAACGGAGGGACATGCAGAACAGCTTAGATGTGCAGAAGGTACGGCATTTGCAAAGTTAATTCTGACTCTTCTTTGGAAGCGAGGGTGGTGGTGGGGAGGGGCGAGAGGCAAGCTATAGGTGCGCTCGCATCATGTCTGGCATCCTATCCCTCTTGCCCGTCCGTTATTCCCATGGTGCTCATCTCTTTCTATCTGTTCGCCGGGATGGGTGCGGGATCACATCGGGATCCCAGGGTGGCGTTTGCAGTGTTTGAGTCAGTCGTCTAATGGTATGTGCGCGGCGACGGGGGGCGAGGACACGTGCGGTGAGGTCGGTGAATGTCTGGGCGGAGAGTGCCCAGA